GGATGGCAGCAGGGGAGCTTCCTTCTGGGTGCTGGGACTGGCTCACCTTCTCTTCCCTAGGAGCTTAGGATGGCAGTGGGGTAGCTTCCTTCCAGGTTCTGGGACCGGCTCAGCTTCTCTGCCCTAGGAGCCTGGGATGAGGCAAACTTTTTACCTTGCTATTAAATATATATTATTTTTCTTGTTCATTTGCCCTATAACACAGAATAGAGAATTTATATAAAGATGATTTTACAACTCTCACATGACTATGTCTCAAGTTTTGTTCAAAAGAAATATGAAGTGGTAGAGTGCTTGCCTAGTTTGCATGAGGCCCTGGCCCTTAGTCCTGCCAAAAAAAATGTTGCTGAGAAATTTTAGTTTCATCACATTAACACAGGTCTCAGGACTACAGGTGTGCAATACATGCATGCACATACACGTTAGTGTTGTGATTCTTTTTCTTTTACCACAATTATGTTATCAATGATTGTTTAGAATTGATCATAAAATTTATAGATTTTCTCATTTCAGAATGTTTCTGAAATATTCCTATTTCCCTTTCCTAATTCCTTTATTTTGATTTGTGTTTGTTTTATTAGAATAATTCCTAAGCAATTGAGAAAAAGACACACTTTCTTAACTTTGATTTGAGTAATAACATTTCATTCTGTCCTCAGTGATGGACAAAACAATTCTATATTTAAAAACTCTTTTTCCTCAAACTTTATAAATATTTCTCAGTTGATTCTTAATAATATCAATATGAACAGCTTTTTTTTCCTTTAATTTATAATCATTGTATGCACTGGTTTGTTTATCTGCTTATACAAATCGTTCAGCCTGGCTGTTTGTTGGTAGCTCTTTCAGGTTTTCTTCCACACCACCTTAACTTTCTGGCAGGACAAGATGTTCTAGGGTCCTCTTGTGTTTTCCCAGGTGTATAATCAAGAAGCCTTGATTCTTTTTTTCAGAGGGATTATAAATCTAGGCACTGGGTTTTCTCATTATTCCTGGAATGTCACTACTCTTAGATCTTCATAGTAGAAAGAACTAGAAAATGTGTGTGTATAAGATTATATGTATGCAAATGCACATATATACACAAATACAGTATCCATTTACATATATTCCTGATATCCAATCTTTTACCACAGGTTAATTCTAGTCTCTCACCTTGTTAACCTGTGACCTTCATCTCTCACGGTGAAATACCATCTACATCCATTTGCCTGTTGGCTCAATCCAAGTACATTATGTAAAGCAGTTTCAAGATTGTTAACTTCTATCTCATGAGAAACAGCTTACAGCCAGAGTCCAGTGATTTTGTGCAGTTCATCTTTTCTTTGGCCTTACTTATAGTCAAACATCTCCTCCAGAGCTCTCTCTTCCCTCTACACTCCGGATTGAAACAGGACGTACTTCTGGAGTCCAGTTAGATTCCTTTCTGCAGTGTTCATCCCATCCTGGGATCTCCCAAAATACTGTGTTGTTTTTTAAATTTACATACATGTAAGTCCATTCTTTTTAGTTCACAATTCTACAGGTTCTGGGATGTGTGGAGCCCTGTGCCCACCATGGCTCACCATGTCAGGGGGCTCCCTGTACATTGCTCTGTAGTGAACTACCCTGTCCTCACCAATTGCTGGTGACCAGTGACAGTTTCCCTTTTCCCAGAATGCCATCTGAGTAGAAAATGTACAGTGTGCTGCTTTGGGTCTGACATGTTTAGTTTAGTTTAATGTATTTCAGGTCCATCTGTGCAGTTGCACAAATCAAAGTGTTATTTACTTACATCACTAAATAGTATCCTATTATATAGGATGGCTTTAGTTTAATTGGTTCATTCCTCTGTTGAGGGATATCTGAGTTGTTTCAAGTTTTTTATTTGTTTTATTTTTATTTTGGCTTTTTTGTTGATTATAAATGAAGCTATTATAACATTTCACATACATGTTTCACTGTGAACATAAACTCTCAATTTACTTGGATAAATACTTAGGAATGCTAATGCTGAATTTTATCCCAAGTCTATGCTTAGCTTTACAAGAGCTTTTATCAAGCTGTCTTTACATTCTCACCAGTAATGAGAAAAATATTGCTGTTGCTACATACCCTTTCCAGCATCTATAAGGACACCTTTTTATTATTTTTATGCACGGGAAATTCAATCCAGTTTACTAGTGAGTGTTTTAGCCTTTGCCTTTTCCAGCTTGCAATGCAAGCCACAGACTTGGCCCCAGGACACCAAATCCCCTGCAAGCATCCATGTGGCCAAGTCTGTCATTGTAAGAGGTGGAGACAGCTCTCACTGGCTTGTCAGGGCCTGGTCTTGCAGCTGAGCTGCATGAAGGTAACAGTGACACACTGTGGGCTCCCAACATTGTCTTCCTGTTATAAAAACTCAAATGTTTCTTGAGATCTGAAAAATTTTATTCTTGTAATTAGTTTGAAAGTTTTCTTTTCTTCCACTTCCATTAGTCTCTTTACAGGACATTTCTTACATGGAATTCATACCATCTGTGTGTCTATTTTAATATATTTTCATTTTTTCTGATGGTTTGCATGTCTTTGATTTTTGTTTTATGTTTATGAAACCCAAAGGAATCCTTAAATCCCATTTTTAAAACAATCAGTGTTTTACTTAATTTAATTGAATTTCAGTTTTTTGTGTGTTTGTTCCTTTGCTTTCAGAAATGCAGTCTGTTGATCATTTTACATGTCAGTCTTTATTAATTCATGAAGGCAATATCCTGGACACCAGTTAGAATTTTAAAAGCACAGATCTCATTTTTGGTTATTTATTAGAGGTCATTGGCTCTGTATGCCCATTAGGCCACCCTTTTCTTTTTTAAATCATCCATTATCTCTATATAGTTTGGTAACTTTGGTTTGTCCATCATATTCATGAGTACACATGTACAATTTATCAAAAGCAATGGCTAACTTGGCTCTCTACTTATTATATTTCCAGAATATGTCTGAACCTCTTAGAAAGCTCCCTGTGAACACATCCTCCTGGGAAATGTAAGTGGATGAATCTAAGCCAATGAACACATTTTGTTTCAGAATACAGATAGACAAACCAGGGGCCTTCCTGAGCAAGGTGGTTGGCCTGAACCAACTGTAAGATCAAATCTTAAACTCACCAATTATTTATCTGTACAGGTGAAATGCCTCAAAGGACAAGCATTTTTATTTATTGCTCCATTCATGGTAGTAGAAATAATTATAGTATTATCTCTTCACAACTAATTTCCAACTGTTCTAGCCCTCTGTTTTTGGTAATGTAAAGAAAAAGTGGTTTTATCTAGCTGGATATTTTATAAGAATCATTCATTGTTTATTTCTATCTTCACATGATATCTTTTGCTGTGTATCTATGTCTCTGCATCCAATTGCCCTCTTGCTATAAGGATAACAGTGATATTAGATTTACCATATACTGTAAAACAGTGTGATCTCATTTTCACTTGATCACAGCTGCAAAGATTCTATTTCTAAATAAGATCATTTCTACAAATATGTGTGTCAATTTTAGAGAGGCACTATTAAACCTAGCACAAATGTTAATTGATTTCAATTTCCTGTACTACCAGGAACTCCAAGTGAACAAGTCCTTCTCTTTATTAATGGCAGTTTGATCAGAGAAAGTCTGAGGAAACCTTGGCACCAAGGATCACATAGTTCACAAGTGCATTCTAGTCTGTCCATCTGTCCACTGTCCCAGGCTACCAACGCCCCTTTCTCTACCTTTCTGAGGTGGGAGAGCAAGCGGGGCTCATGGGTGTCTCCTTTTGCTTTTCTCGAATGCTTTTCATTGGTACTGAAACTTCTTTGTGAATCTGATGCACATTTTGCTTAATATAGTACAAAAGTCTTAAAGTTTTTACTCTATCCTTTATACTTTCCTGGACTTCCATATATTTTTCTTTCCTCTTCTTTCTATATTTATTTGGTCAGATCAATGAAAATTTTTATGTAACAGGCAAAGAAATTACTAGGTTTAGTTTGACATTTTTGTGGACACTGAAGTGAGCCTCTTATTTTTTTAGAGGGTTCTAATCTTGTGCTTTGTACAGAGCAGGAATTTGAAGTATTTTAAAGCGAATTTGTAATAATAGCCATTAATTTGAACATCAGCAAAGAAGAGTTCTGAAGGATGGAGAACCTCATGAAATTGCAACTGTGAAACTACATGGCACGATTATAGCAGTCACAGACCAGATAAGAAGGAAGCCATAGACACTTATTGAACATTGACAACTGCCAGGAACTGTGAGGTGGCCCCTTCAAAAGTCATTTGGTCGTCACAATGATACTATGAGATCAGAACTTCTCCCATTTTTTAAAGAAGTGAAATTCCAAGATTAAGAAATTTAAGACTACATGACCACTAAGTAACAAAATGAAGTAATTGCCCTTTTAAGGTAGTTTCAGTTTTCCTGGGACCAAGATGTTCCACTGTTCCTGACATAGTCTTGGGACAAATTGCTCTTTGTCATATATTGCTCATCATATACATAAATGCTTATATCATATTTGCCGACATAATTACCTCTGCAGGACTCATAGCCAACCATGACCTTATAACTGGAAAATTCTTCTGAGTCAGATACCGCTGACAGGATGCAGAACAGACTTGTGGAGAGGTGGGACCCTGACTGGTGAATGAGGTTCCTGAAATTTTCATTCTTTGCTTTTCCCAGGCTACACCTTTTCCATTAACTTATCTTCAATTCCCAGCCACATTCTTCTTTATAAAAACACTTCATGAGTACTTAGTATGTTCCAGGTATTGTTTATGGAAGCTCTGGAAGCTTTAGGGAAACACATGATCAGGAAGGAGTCATTGGGCTTATAGAAAAGCCAAGGTAGAGTTGTTGACAAACCCAATGGCCAGGATCAGTTCCCCGGGTCACCTGGCCCATTTCCACATGGCTGAAGAAAGACAGTGGGGTAGAGATGAAAACCAGGTGGAAAGACAGGGCTCACAAAAAGAGCAAGAACAGTACACTTACCTTGTTTACACAAGCACGAAGCTGGTGACTCTCAATCAAGTAAGGGAGCTTGTTGGCAATTTCCATCCAGGGCTGGTAATATTCAGGAAGTTCTTTCTGCATTTAGAATAGAAACATCTCAGTATTATTGATGTCTCTAGGAAGTAACTCTGAAGAGTAGTTGCCTTCAGATTTCAGACTTAAGGAGAACTGAAGTCATTTCAGTTCAATGAATGTTGAGAACTGACTAGTCCTCATGCCAAATAATGCAGAAGCATAGAGGATTCAGATACAATGTTTGTCCTTATGCAGTCTAGTAGGGAAGACAAATTTACTGTGGACAAATTGAACCTAAAGCTGCATAATATGTTTAATTTGTGTATAAGTTTCAGAATTTGCTAAAAACAATAAGTAGGGCTAATTCTGTCAGTTGTGGGAAAATAAAGTGAAATAGTCATAAAATATGACAGTTGAGTATAGTTTTGGAGTAGGAACATGGCTTTTCTAGGTGGGAATTTGAAGGAAAGTAGAAAAGGCAGCGAGGATAGCAGGAAAGCAGATGTGTGTTCTTTTCAGACTATGAGTTATTCAGTATTGCTAGAGTGTAAAGCTCAAGAGAAAGGATTGGTGGAAGATGAATCTAGGAATTCAGATCATATGTGCTTTGTGTAGGTTATATAATTTTTTTCTTTTGTGTAAGTTGGTGTTAGCACTTCCACAAGTTTGATTTAAATTTCAGGAAGATAATTTTGTTTGTAGGATTTTACCATGTAAATCGCCTAAGGAAGCCTATGAAATAGTCCTCAAAGACTACACTTAAATGATGACAGTGAAGTTGGACAGAGTATGTACTTAAGATGTATTTGGAAAATAAGAAGGAAATGATGTAATGATTCCATGTGGAGATGGAAACTTAAGAAAATCTCTCCCTCAAATAACCACATTTGTGGGTCCTCTGGGTCACTCCTGTAGAAGGGAGTGTGGATTTCAGTGTCCCAGCTCTAACTCAGGGAATAGCTAATGACATCTGTTTTTATGAATCAGTTTTTATAGGAAGCCAGCCATCTCATGTATATATTCCGATGGTGCTTTTGGGTCAGAGCAGCAGAGTTGGGTAGCCCCAACAGAAAACACCTGATATCCAAAGCTTACAGCTTATTTGGCCCTTTCCCTAAGACCTTTCCAACACCTGCTCCAGCCCAATGATCTGGAACTCCTTTTTCCATGTACAACCTGTACAACTGAAGGCAGTGTTTTTATGTGATTAAATGAGTGAGAACACAAACTGAGATCAAAATGCTGTAAAGGTCAGAGAGTGAGTTTAAAGGTAGGGAACTTATTTTTAAATTTATTAAGTTTAAATTATCTGTGGAGCCAAATAGGGTGGTATACACCTGAAATCCCAGCTACTCAGGAGATTGAAGCAGGATGATCACATGTTTGAGACCAGGAATGGGGGGCCTTGTAGTGTGGCTGATTGGTAGAGTGCTTGTCTATCATGTAGAAGGTCCTGAGTTCCATCCCAAGTACTACAAAAAGTTAAAATTAAAATAAACATAAAAGTCTGTGAAACCCAACGTTACGACTGTACTGAGAAGTCTGAAGTTCAATATAAAATTTATATGAGACTATAACTGCAGAAAAACTGAAAACAAAAGTATATAAATTGTTTCTGAAGATTTGCAAATTGAAACAGGAAGAAAGCCTAAATTAGCACACCAGGGAAAACTCACAGGACAGTTACAGAAATTGAATCCACTAATACAAATGAAAAGGAAAGTTCTGGATGTTTGACAAACCATAAGAGATTAACCATGTAGAAGTAAGGCATTAGAGGATTTCCCAGAAGTAGACAATCATCAGAAAGCCAAGGCAAGAATGCTTCATTTAGAAAACAAAACTAGAAGTCCCTAATATACACGAATTTCTCTACATGGTGTAGAGTCAGGGTTAAGGCCAGGGCCAAGGAGTAGGGTTCAAATGTTAATGTTTTGACAAAGTAAGGAAAATATAGTGCTTTTTTGATAGAAACAGTAGTAAAGGGAGAATTTGAGAGTGACGTGTCTTAAGAATAAGATACATGGTCAGTTATAGTCCGCTACTTTTAAGAGGGAAAGATGTAATACTGGAGAGACAGGGGAATGTTTAAAGTAGGAGGTGATGGAAGAAGGGGAGAGGGGATGAAGAGTCAGATGGGACATGTGGCCCTGATGTGGTGAAAGGAGGTCAGATGTTGAAGGGGCTCACTTTTTAGGAGCTCATCTTCTCAGTACATTGGAGTGAAGTCTTGGTTGTGTGACTTGAGGATGGGGTAGGAATTAAATTAGTAATAGAGGGGAAAGGAAAGGGAACTAAACATACACACATCTAGATAGTAAGAAGGTACATTGAGAACTCAGGGAAGTGTGGAACTATAAAGTTGGAGAGGCAGAGACCTATCAGCTACCCAGATATCACTTATTACACCTGTGTCCTGAGGGTCTGTGAGAAAGCTGGGCTCAGGCTCCTAATTAATTTGTAACTGTGGTATATTGAATGTCCTGCTATACTCTCTGAAAACTATAGATTTTATTTAATCTCCTTTCTATCTTTGGCCCTGAATCAATCCAAGACAGACTGGGCACCTTTTACTGGCTTTGACAACAAATCAAATTATCCCAGTTTTAAGTGTTTTGTCTTCACCGTAGATGTGGGTGTTGATATGGAGGATGTCACACATGCTCCTGTATTCTCTGAGCATATCAGGTTTTGGTAGGCACAGGATACTCTGCTTCCCTTGATCTTGTCCCAGAGAAAAAAATGTTGATAAGAAGGATTGTGTCATTTTTTCTAGCAAAAACTCAGCTACAAGTACAGAAATGAAGAAAGCTGATAACTAAACTGATAAAAGTTTAGGAATTTACAAAACAGTGGCAGAGCAAAGATGCTAGCAAGAATACAGGCAGAAGCTGGGGATATAGTTCAGCAGTACAGCGCTTGCCTAATGTGCAAAAGTCTGGGTTAGAGTCCCAGGAAAACACACACACACATACACACACATACATACACATACACACACATATACACACACGCGAAGGCAGGCAGATTTGTGATGAACTAACTGAACTGGCAACTTATTTTTCAGCTTCCCTCTATGATGTATATGTTTATGAACAAAAACTGAATTCAGTGAAAATATAATAGAGTAGTAGACTTGACATTAATTTTGTAACATAAAACCAAAGTTACAGAATCATGGTATTCAGAAGTTGCCTTTCAAGTGAGCCTCAAGACAAGAAGCTGTAACTAAATTATTACCTCTCTTCTTTCTTTGATGCCTAGATAAGAAATCATAGGAAAGTCCCCTGAATTTTGGCTTCCTGACTTGCATGAAAATTCCTAAATACTTCATTTTATTAACTGAGGATTTGAATTGTACTTTTCTTTAATATCTACTTTTCTTAGGGAAAATACTTTCCTTCTTCCTTTGTACATCCACTTCCTTTTTAAAGTCTAAGGTTTGAATTTCTGTATCACCCCAATTTAAAAAATGAGACTCTCAAAGTGTGGGCCCCAGTCTAGCAGTATCAGCACGACTGGATTTTGTCAGACATGCAAATTCCTGGGCTCCATCCTGGGCATCCTGGACCAGACACCAAGGTGGGACCAACCTCTCTCTTATTGTCCCTCCAGCTGACCAATGCACACTAAAATTGAAAACTTGTGAAGACCAACCCTGCAAGTAATTCTGAAGGGAATAAAGGATTTGAAAAGTAATTTACAATCAATTTTAAATGTTTTCTGCCTTTTAGCTTTTCCTCTAGAAATTGGAGAAAGTGGTGAATTATGTCAATGACTTTCTGTTGTCAGAGTTTAAGTTCCAGTATGAGAGATGGGACAAGTGGAGTCTCACTAACCAACACTTCCTTCATAGATAATTATGTCCTGTGTTTTAAAGCCTACAAAGTATTCTAATTAGTTACTGGCGAGTATTTTGAATTACTTATAATTTTTCTCAATGATTAACAACTTGGAACAGTAATCCTTGCTCATATCTTTTTGACATTTTCTTATTATTTCCTTAGGACAAATTCCTAAAAGTAGATCTTCTGGATTAGTATTACATACATGTAAAAAGTTGAAAACAACTTTCATTCCTTACAGAAAAATTACATCAGATGATTATTACACTTGCAAAGTATAATTTAAAAATATGGCTGTTTAAAAATTTAAAAATTCATTACAGTAAAAGACACACTCATATTAGTCCCCCTCAAAATACTCCTCATCACTCTGAACACACTTATTCCACCATTCTTGTCTCTTTTTCAGCAGTTCTGAAAGTGTTTTCCTGTCTTAACTAGGAGTGATAAAAATACAGCCAATGCTGCTGCCAAGTACTACCCAATAGAAAGGCAGGCTGGTAAAAATATTGTAGTCTGTCCTCAGCCACCTTATTCGCTGGATCTGTGAACATGTGATTTCTAGTTCTTCCCTTAAGTCAAAATGATCACTAAGAGTCATCTTGAATCAATTCAGGACATCCAGGCAGCCACAACAATACATTCATATTGCATATTAGAAGTGGCAATTCATCTATGTTTCTGGTGACATTAAGCATTACTAATATTTTTGTTTTATGTTTTTAAGATTTGACTGGTATTAATTGCATTACAATTTCATAGTTTTTAATATTAAATAGTACTAAATTCATTAATACCTTATCTCAAGCATGATGCTTTTAAAAATGTAATCAACACATATGACAGAATATTCAAAATATGAAGTCTATAAAGCACAAAATACAAAATATCCTAATTCTCATCCTCCTCTCTAGCAAGTATGACTCTTCAAAGTTTCTTGTGTGGTTTTCTATATGCTGTATAGAATATATACCACACAGATTGCTATCAATTTGCTACCCATTCCATTCTTAAATTTTACATTTCTGTGACTGCTAATGAGTTTGAAAAGATTTTCACCTACTTTGGTTATTATATTTTGATGTGTATATTTGGAACAGCTATTCCTAATGGAGTACTCAAATCATGCTTATCTAATCTCAACATCATTTCTTTTAATACCTTTTAGTTTTATCACAGATGCTTGTTTTTCATTTATCTGCACTGTGTTCTAAG